ATGAGCTACTGTACTTCTATTCTAGTTCATTTCTTTGTTGAATTCACTCTGAAATACCTGTAGTGCTCATTAGCCAACCCCAGAGCTGGCACCTAATTTCACTGCCGGTTGCTGGTTTGGGTGGCAGAACCATAGCAACAGTTCCTTAAATTACACAGACATGCTTTTCCACACCTTTACAGGAAAGCCTTCATCTACAGAGAGCTGGCTCTATTTTTACTAAGTGGGTCAGGATTCTGCACCAGAGGCAATGGGGAGAGACCAATTTCACAGGTACAGCTCAGCGTAATTAAGGCATAAAGGTGCTCTCTTCTTTCTTAAAAGACATCCAACATTAAAAAAATGAGCAATTAAAATGCTCTGGATATATTATGACAAAATATATGCTATGACGAACTGAAAAACACTGGCAAATGAAGTCCTCTGTCAAAATTCGATGCTGTGCTGCACCTGCAATACCAAAGTACCACAGTCCAGACTGAAGCTTATAGGGCTGTATGGAGCACTTTAGCAATAACACAAGCTTTTCACACCAGACAATGATCATACACACTTCCAAATGCACCAAATGATAAACAGATGAACAGAATCACTACTGTCTTACTGTTGGGTTACAATATCAGAAGAGAAATACCAGAAACACAGCGGAACAGGCACACAGGAGAATAACTGTCAGTTCAAAGGAGGGAGAAAAGCAGGGCAAAGGCATCAAACTGTTTGGAGCACAGAAAAAACAGCATATTCAAAACCAATAAGTTAGGGTGTGTGTATTGTCTGAATATGTGAGGGTTTATAAAGCTATGAGGAATCGCTAGTCTTTTTTTCTGAGTTTTTAGGAAGAGATCTATACCTTTTCTGTTCAGCAGCAGGTGAGTGGGTGTGGTTGTGAAACGTTCCTTGTAAATGGAGTTATAGGTCACTGGAAACAGCACCGCAGGATATCATCTGGCCACCTACACACGAGCGACACATACCAATCTGCCTTCCCACACACGTCTCTGCTGTAGCTTTCTCTAGTGAAATATTTAAAAAATGCATCACGGCTCAGTATAAGAAGTAAGATCTCTGTACACTTACTTTAAATGCACACACACACACACACAAACACACATACACACACACACACACACACACACACACACACACACACACTCAGTCTCCTCAAAGTGTTGGATCCCTACCTGGCAGCTCACAATGAGTGGTCATCCTCCTTCTGGTGGGCAGGAAAGTGAGCACCAGTAAAGTGATCAGAAATCCTCTGATTCCTCTCAGCAAGAGTAAACCCATCATTTCCTCCAGCATTGGGCAGATAGGGCTCTAGGGTGATATTGCCAAAATCCTATCACCAATATAATGTCATTCGATATACATAAAAATCAATAATTATTACATGCATTTCTAAATGCCCAATTTTAAGTCTGCAGAGAGGGGAGAAACGAGGCCCAAAACGCTCAAAATACCACTCGCTAGCAATATCTGTCAAACGCAAGTAAATACATTGTTAAAAACCATCTAAACCCAACAATTTGCATACACATTCATTCAAAGGTAGTAATATCCTGAAATAAACAAAACTAACATTTTAGATTACATTTTAATCATGTTGTTCATGCAATTGTTATAAGCAGAGGTAATTACTGTGATGCTCTTTTTACTGAGCTTCTTAATCCTTGTGTGGTGTTAATGTTTTTGCGTTATTGTTTTTTTTAAATCAATACAGCCATAACAATTTATGTAAAAACACCAGATGTTTAAAATATAACAAGTGGCCAGCATAGGGTTCTCCTTTAGCAGCTGTAGCCAGCCAGCAGCCTCACACCATGCAAGGGTTAAGAAAACTATACATACTCCACAGTTTTTACAAACTGCAGCAGCACAGACTCTAATAAAAACATGAGAATGTAACATGCTGAATAGACCAGACAAGCGCACAGACTATTAAGAGACAAACAAACTAAAAAAGAATAAATGAAATAAAAATAAGAAAAATTTAAATGCATAAATATCTGTACATATGCAAGCCTGAGGAGCCATATAATATAATGACTGTTATATACAGAATATTACAGAATGATATGTTACAGTTACTTTAATACAGTAGGAGGTATAATGGTTCAGTTTAAGTTTAAGGTGAAAGGGGTCCATTGTGGTTAAAGAGCACTACAGCTCTGGGGCAAAGCTGTTTGCGTGTCCGGTTGTGCTGGTTTTGATGGCCCTGAATCTTCTACCAGAGGGGAGTGGTTGGAAGAGGTGATGTCCAGGATGAAAGGGGTCAGCTGTAACTTTGCCAGCATGCTTCATCACCCTTCTGTTGTAGATGTCCTGAAACACTGGCAGACTACATCCAACAATCCTGTCTAATGTTCTGATTATGCACTGAAGTTTGGCTCGTTCTTCTGAGGTGGAGAAACCAAACCAGATGGTTATGGATGATGTGAGGATGGACTTGATTATTTCTTTGTAGAACTGGATCATCAGACTCTGTGGCAGGTTGAATTTCTTCAGCTGTCTCAGGAAGAACATTCTATGTTGCGCTGTCTTGGCTGTGGGAAGGGTTCCTCTCTAACTTCAGGTGCCTGGATATGGTGGTGGCCAGGAACTTGAGTGACTCCACAGTGAAAACCACAGAGCCAAATATGTTGTCGGGGGGTGATAGGGAAGGGGATTGCACCTACAGTCTTTTGTGTGTTGAGCAGCAGGTGACTGCTGCTGTACCGGGTGACCAGCCAGTCGACTTTCTTTAGGTAGGCAGACTCATCTTCATTAAATATGAGGCCTACTGCGGTGGTGTCATCTCCAAACTTCAGGATCTTCACAGCTGGTTCCCTGGAGACACAGTTGTTGGAGTAGAGATTGGAACGAAGGGGTGAGAGCACAAAACCTTGTGGAACTCCAGTACTGAGGGTCTGGGGGTCTGACATATGTTTTCCAAGTTGCACCTGCTGTCTTGTGTTTGTCAGGAAATCCACAATCCACCAGCAGATGGGATCTGGCACAGACAGCTGGGACAGTCTGACCTGCAGCAGTTCTGGCACTATGGTACTGAAAGCTGAGCTGAAAAGTCTGAAAGTCCACAAGCAAAACTGTAACTTATGTTCCAGTTATTTTCTCAAACAAAACTTCAGTGTAGGTTCCAGTTATGTTGTAGCATGAAGTGTAGGGCCAAGTTGACCACATCATCAACAGACCTGCTAGCTAGCTCTGTATGTTAACTGCAGGGGATCCAGCAGAAAGTTTGTAATGGCGTTCAGGTGGGCTAGGACCAGGCGTTCAAAGGCCTTCATGACTACAGAGGTTATGGCTACTGGCCTGTGGTCAGTAAGTCCAATTACGTTTTATTTTGAGAGGGGAGCTGGAATGATGGTGGAAGTTTTGAAGCATTTGGGAACAAAGCAAAGCTCTGGTTATTTGTTGAAGATGTTTGTGAAAATGGGTGTTAGTTGGTAGTAAAACATCAAGGAGAGCTCACATCACCCACATTTTGTAAGAATTTCACTGGCTGTCAGAATCTTTCAGAATACACTTAAAAGTACTGTTATGTGTTTTTAAGACTCTAAATGGCTGAGCAACTAAGTACCTCACAGCACATCTGTCTGTTCCAGCACATGATCTTGGATCTGCATATACTGGTTCTTCTGCAAATACAGAAAACACGGTGAGGCCTTTTCCTGTTATTACGCTTCTAAACTGTGGAACTCAGTATCACCTTTTATTAGACAGTCAAGCTCAGTGCACACTTTTAAGAAACATTTGAAAACACACCATCAATTTATCATTTATTAAAGAGATATGTTACGTACATCTTTAATTGTTATCAACGTCACTGCCTTATACGATTTTAATCTAATACTCATAATTTCTTCTATTACTTTTAAGCTTTATTACGTCTCTGTAAAGCACACTGAGCTGCCAGTGGTATAAAAAGTGCTCTATTAATAATTATAAATAATTAAATATCATATCATTTGTATATAAAAAGAAAGCGTGTCTGCGACAGACGTATGGGTTATACAGAATTCATCTTCTGTAAGAAAAAGTTAGCATCATTAATTTGTATTAATTTATTCAATTTAATAGCAAACAGTAGCAGAAGGGTGCATCAAGAGCTGTGTAGAAAATTTGGAATCGCTCACTGCTGACCAGCTCAAATAATTTACATCAGTCTGGTAGTGTGAACTGGCAGATGTCATACTTTTCACACAGCTTTACTGTGTTTGCCCAACCACTCCTACAGGGTCCAACTAGCAGAAGTTCAAAATGTTTAGAGACCATGTCTGAAACAATAAGCCTTGTTTGCTGAAAAGACTTCATACTGCAAGGCTTGATTTACAGACAGAACAACTAATCGCTCTAATCCAAGCTGTGGGCCTGCTTGACTGGTATAGCACCTTAGGTAACACTGCCACTTTCCACATGGAAGACTACGGTTTGATTCCCTGCCTGGCCAAGCACACATTGCTATACCAATAAGAGTCCTTGGGCAAGACTCCTGATGCTACATTTGCCTTCCTTTATAACATGATCAAACTTAAGCTGCTCTGGATCTTCCATAGAAATACCATGAATACTGTACAAAGCCAGTTCCACCAGAGAAGAACCGCTACTGGATTTTCTAGATAGCTCACCATGCTGTCTAAATTCTGAGCCACAGGTTGAGAGCGCTTTTAATTGGCTCAGCGGGTGATGGCCAGCAGCTTGATGTTCCTTATGCAATCTTACAGTTGGTAATGAGTTTCTGCTTCAGTTACCCCGGGGGACCAGCCGGCCCAAGGAGCATAGCGGCTAAATTAACGTGTTCAGAAAGAAAAGGAAGAGCTTAAGCAACAACGCTGCCAATTTCAAGCCAAATACACACACACATACACACACACACACACACTCACACACACACACACACACACACACACACACACACAAGCCAAGCAGCACAGAAAGGAGCCATGAGACCAGCACCGCGTGAGCAGGCAGACACCGGCAGGCAGTGCGGCGTGCACGTCTGTCTGGAGTCCCCGGTGAGACGCACCCGTCTGCCAGGCTCAGGAAGAAGAGAAACATCATCTTTAATAAATGAGCAAAACACCACAATCAGGGAAAAACGACTCTTTTACTGGCTGTTTTTCCTCCACACAATACAATTACCTAGCACAATCGTACAGAATTAGATACTGGCTAGTTAAAAATGTCATTTGAAAGTTCTGACATAACTTGCGGGAGCACTTATTTTATAGTAACTAAATAACATTCTTAGATCAAAAAAAGAAAATAAGCCCTTAAAACATTTGAAAACAATTAGATACTTCAGCAAAGTTTTTGTCCATATTCACAGTATGAACTTATTATAGATTTAGCACAGCAATGTCTTTAATGTCACAGTTACAGATGAAATTCAGACATAAAAGTGGACAAGCTCCAATTACAGGTGAGCTTCAGTCACACAGCATCCGATTTATCTAGTACTTGTATGATAAAACTATACCAAACATTAATCATCATAAATATCTTTGCATAGACAGAGAAACTGTTATGAACTGTTATGAAAAAACCCAACAATTTGTGCAGGTAGCCCCTTATACCACAATGAATCTGCAGCACTCAGTTTAGCATTTAGCATGAACCTATTTAATACACAAAGGCTATTTCTGGTCTTTGAAGAAATCCATCTGCATTGGGCCATTATGCTAAATCTAACAATAAAGCTAATTAAACCCCTGTTTATGATCACTCTCTGATTTTTATGATGAATGTCCCCTTTATTCATATTTCCATATGGAAAATGATACCTCACACAGCCTTTGCCTTTCACATACCCAAATGCACAAATGGCAGAATTGTGTCACAGACTCCGTTACTGATTGCCATTGCAGTGGATCTATCATGACAGGTTACCAGGCCACAGAGGGGGCATATTCTCTGTAGTCTGCCCTACTGAAACTCTGCTTGACATAAGGGTCACTGCGAACTTGGGGGAGCCTTCCGCTTCAGCCCTTACTTGCTCCGCCAGGTTCGCAGTGACACTTATGCCCACATTACCTTTGACTTAAGCAACAGTTCAACAAAAAATATATCATTTCCAAAGAAAAGCACTGAGTATAGAACAGGACACCTTGGAGTGGATGAGCCTAAGATCACACTGCCCCATGGCAAGTGTCGGCTTGAGGAGTATAAAGCCCTCCAGCACTGGGCTGAGAAGCAGTGCAGTGACGAAGCACCATCCAATACCTTTGGGATGAGTTGGAGTGACGTTTGTGATCCAGAACTATTCATCCAACATCAGTACCTGACCTCACTAACGCTCTTGTGGCTGAATGCAATCATATCTTCACAGCCTTCCCACAAGAGTAGAGGCTGTTACTGCAGCAAAGGGGGCAATCTCCCTATTAATACCATTGATTTAAAAAAAAAAGTTGGATGAGTAGGTGTCTACAAACTTTTGTCTGGAGAACAGTTCTGCACTAGAGCTACAAGGCTAAAGTAGCTAACAAGTAACAGAAGCTTATAACCATCTATTAATGTTATGCAAACTGCATGCCTAAACCAAAAAAAAGTTCGAAGTGGACCTGATCGTTGTCATTCAATGTTAGAAGGCTTACAGTTGATTAAACCCCTTTAAGTGTCAGTCCACTGTCAGTTAAGTCTCTTTTACTCAGCAGAGCCTGTGAAAGGACAGATGTAGCCAGTACTCCGCCTAACCGGGGTGGGGAACTGGAGGTATCTTTAGCTATTTCTCTTTCTTTCCTCTCCCCGCTTTCTTGTTTCTTGGTATTCTCCAGCAGCTGTTGCACAGTCTTGGAAAAGGCAACACGAGGATCATTGGCAGGAAGGGCGGGGCAGTCGCACTTCGCACGGATCTCCAGAGCCTGCAGAAACAACAAACAGGTGAACACACAAGATGGAGGACATGATCTTTGACTTTACGCCCACCAACCTCCTCGCAGAAGACAGAACTCTTTAAAGTTTAATACCTGAGGGACGGATGAATAGGATGGACAGATAAAGAATGGATTAACCAAGAGTCTAATGTGGAAGACTATTGGTATTCAGCATGTGCAAGGCATCTAGCATAAAGACAGCTGGACTCGTTTACACAGATTGATCTGAAATTGGTGTGATCTCCACCCTCTGACCTCTCTTAGGGTCAGACGACAGAAGCTTTGTTTTACATAATATAACTTTGTTTTACATTGTAAGAGCACAGAGACACAATGCGTTAGCTAACATAATGGCTCAGGAAATGTCCACTAATCAGCAGCAGGCACCTTATGTCCAGGGGCGACTGAGAATTGCTCTGCTGTTCACCATCTAATGTCACTGTTATGGTTTTTTAAACTTGTTAATACAGTAGTACCTGTTGCCATGTTTTGTAGCAGCTCTTGGACAAAAATGGAAACATCCGATCAATCATATGACTTTTTTCTATCCACATTCACATTATTCTGATGCATTTCCATTGTAATTTATTGCATTTCCTTTTATCTGCAAAAATGGGGATCCACCACAAACAACTTTTATGTAAATTTTGGTGATTTTATTCCATGTTTAATATGTCAAAGCTCACAACTAAATACACTGATGGAAAACTAGCTACTTTTTACAACAGGTATCATGATATTTGATTTTTGGTGAGGTTTGATAAGTTAAAGCATACACACTGGACCAGTAATGACACATTTAAAACATAATATTAAAAAACTATAAATACAATTTTTCTAATCACCGTTCCACATACTGCAGTGCACTATATCCTATTAAGCAAGTCCAGTTATGTTTCCTAGACTCAAAATTCAAGCTTGCAACCTTCTGATAGTTCAGAAAAATCTCCTTTTAATAAAACAGTTGGTCATTACATAGTCATATCACCTACCCTACGCCACAGACCAAAGAACAGTAACTCTGTCTGAAACACTAAGACGAACAATGATCTAGGGATGGAGAGACCTGCAGAGAAACGCTTAACACGGAAGCCTTTTCTGGTCAAAATCTTATTCAGATCTCCCCAGAGGAACAATATCAGATGCAGCTCTTGACACAAACTCTTTTCATTATCTCGGGAGAGAGACGGATTTAAGGAGTGCGCGGATGTTTGAAGATCAGGCCATTAGGGGGAACTCACAGCTCTGAACAGATAAATAAATGTAAAAGGCACTTGATGAAAGAGCTGCTTGTCCAAAGCTTATTGGCAACAATTACCCAAGGGAACATATTAGAGAAGCGTATCCTTTGTGTGTCATCTAGTTATTTAGGGACCCATCTAAGATTATGCAGCCATTTAAAACACATGCATCTTTTAGGTAAGACAATACCAGATCAACTATGCATGACTGCAACTTCACAGAGTGAACCTGTGATATGGATGGTAACTCATTTGCAAAGGTAGCAATGCACAGATCATTACGATGTACTACAGACAGCACTGCTCCACCGCAAAAGAATATAAAACATGGATATTAACAATGTAGCATGCTCTTATGTAAGTGCATTATCATACTTTAGTTTGTGAGTTGTTTTGTGAGGAGTTCAAAGAGAAGGGGGTTGGTTGGTCTGGGTCAGAAGGAGGAATTTTCTTCCGAATTCAGTTATAAAAACATTAATTCCAGGAAAGATTTGACACGGAAAATGTTTTATAGCCAAGATATTCAACATCATTCATTTGCTGCTGGTTGGGTTATGCTAATGTATGGCATGCCTAAGGATCCTGGCACAAAGCGAAAACTGTGCCAATGAACCCCATTCTCCCCTACTTAAACCCACAAATGCAAAAACTGATGACAGTGCTTAAAAGTAATTAGTGAACAGTTACTACGCACTATTCAAAAGAGAGCTTTCTAACTGGTATCAGTTACTTCTTATTCATGTTATCTGAGGTAAATCTTTTCAGGTTAAGCTCCTTTTAAACTCCATTTAGTGCTGCACCAAGGCAGCACTCTCTACAGCACTTGAGGGAGATAGAAAGTACGAACAAAAAAAGAAAGAGGATCCCCACTTACCCAACTACAGACCTCAGAACTGCAATCAACCCACAGAGAAACCCTATGGTGGTAATATTTAGCAAGATGGCTCACCTTTTGTCTCTCTCTTTCTCTCTGACTGACAGGCACGGTCTCAGAACAGTCTTCCACTTGACTGCTCCATGGGCGAGCTGAAGCTGCCCCTCAGAAAGTCATTCTCATACAGCGCTGAGTTCTACCACACTTAACACTACTGCTGAGAGCCCACATTATCACAGTTCTACAGGCTTGAAAACTGCCTTATGAAAAAGACATCTTGTGAAAGAGATCTAAGGAACAGAAGAGACACCAGCTTGACCCTTTGCTAGAGTAATGGTCATTAAGAAGCACATGGAAGATGTGCATCCCTAGTTACCTGAAAACAACTTCTGTAAGGTGTAATATAAATGGATACGGTTACTATAAGCTGAACCCATAGAATCTTTAAGCTGGCTATATATTTTATATTCACCAATTTCAGATACTAACCTTTACAGACTTAAGTTTCAGACTGAAGCTTAAGTTCCACACAAAACTGGTCAAAAAACAGCCCTAGGCTTATATTACATTCACACCTCAGTTATTCTATATCTAATTGATCTACAACTAGATCCATTTTAATTGACTGATTAAATCATAAGAAACATAAAATATAAATATGTCTGCATAAACAGACATATGTACTAGAGTCTGTTTGAAAACCAGAAGAGCAACACTTTATGTGCAATATGATGAGCCTCTTATAGTAAATATACCATAAAAATACTGCCCGATATATAGGTTTGTTCATAACATAGGCCAATACTGAAGTCCTGAGGATTTACTAGTACCAGTATATTCATTTATCAAAAATCTCAGTGATAAAGCAGCAATATTTAGTGGTTTGTTTTACATTATAGTAAACAGACACCTCCTGCCTTCTGCCCAGTGAGCGCTGGGATAGGCTCCAGCACCCTCCTTGTGACCCAGGAGGATAAAGGAGTGTAGATGAATGAATGAATAAATGAACAGACACCTCGGAAAAACACTGATTTGTGACGATTTGATGGTTTTATGCTATTGTTATCGTCTAATAATGGTTACTGGTATTGTCACAATATTTTATCATTGGTTGGGTAATAAAATAAAACAGCTTACACTACTGTGCAAAAGACTACTGTTCATTAATTTAATTCTAGTGAAAACAGTCTTTCAGTACAAGGCCCGGCAGACCCCCAAAACCGTACTGTGTTCTCTTTTGAAAAAAATCAAGCTCCACTCTTGTTTTAGATCTAAATAATTCACAGTTGTTTCTTTGTGTCCTTCGACTGTAATTAGATAACTCAGTGCTATGGACACCGGAGATGTGGGCGAAGGCTTTATGGACTGATGAGTCTAAATTTGTAGTTGGGATTACTTGGATGAGAATTCAGAAAATGCAACCAAGTTCTAAGACTGAACTTAAATGTACAAAAATATTCCTGCTGATTTCTCTGAAAAATTTAAACAGGTCTCCATGAAAAAAAGAACGGAAGCTGTAAAAAGGGCAATGGGTGGACACACTAAACACTGCGTCTGTGTAATTTTCTGTTAAATATGTTTTCGGCATTTTTCCTGACACTGAAAAAAGAACCATGTGTACTATGGCTGAACGAAATTAACTAAGTGCAGGATTATTTCTGACTGTTGCACATTAGCAACATATGTTTCACCCTTTCATTCTCACACATCTTCATGCCTGAATACATGAGATTATACTGCTGCAAGCCTTTGTTACCACTGCCCCTAGTGTTTGTACAGGCATGGAAACTACCTTTTTATGAACAAAGTAACCTTGTGAAAGAGAAGTATGAGATGAGCACCAGTAGAGACACTGGCTTGACCATTAGTTTTGGTAATAGTCATTAAGAAGTATATGGAGGGTGCATCTCTCTAGTTAAGTTGAGGTCTCTTATAGGGAACTCGAAAGCAACCTCCCTAAGGAATAATGTAGGCATGCTAAGATCGCAAATGGATACAAACACGCACACATACACACGCGCACACACACACACACACGCTTGATGGACAATTAACATCTTTACCATCTGTTCTCCCTTGCGTTTGAGCCACCTCAGTGCCAGGATGCAGGCAGGACTCTTTCACTCACTGTTACGGGTTCAGGCTGAAGGTTAAGTAAGCCCCAATGAGTGACTAAAATGCACAGCCACACACGCAGCCGCAGCCACCTCCACCACTTTGCATCGTATATTAAACAGCCATTTTGTGGAGTCAGTGGTGTGTGACGGCAGAGAGGACTGTGCATGTTCCTGTAAATGAGTGTCCTCCACACTCAACTCACTCGCCAGCTTTCTCTTAGCCTGCAGTGTGTCAGCCTGAGCTCTTCATCTTCACACACATACCACACACATACACAAGCACCCGCACATCAAGAAAAGGTGTCTATGGAATTGGAGGAGATTTCAGGCAACGTGGGAAATGTGTTGAGCTCTGCAAGATTCAAAATAACACAGGAGATGAAAGTAAAACCGTTTTCTTGGGTCTTGAAAACGAGAATTTAGCCAGAGAGGCAAAACAAAGCACCTCCATCTCCACTCCAGCTTTAATACACCCCAACTACAAAAACCAGGCGAACCTTGATACATAAAAAGAGAAGTATTTAAATAGGAGCAAAGGCGCAGTGCAAAATGCACCTTGATGCAACTGCAATACGTGCCCACCACGCACAAGAACTGACATTCAATTTACTAAGTCTGCTAACTGAACATTACACCAAACGCTGTCAGACCAAGCAACCTCAGAAAAAAAACGCAAGCTTGGTTAAGCATGTACTGGTCTGTATAACTTAGACAACTATTCTTAATATAAATGCCAGTATAACATTTGCACAGTGAACCAACTTATTTACATATATCCACCTATTGGGCCTACAGCAGTTCAGCTCTGCCATTTGTGTTGAAGTTTTGTGTAAGAAGTCTTTCAACTCTGAGTGCGTTTTTGAATGAGGCACAATATTGGGCAACCAATCAGAACAGAGCTCATTTATCAGTAACAAAAATCTCAATCAAATTGCAACTGCCGTGAGCTGCTCAAACTTTAGAAAATTGAGCGGAATTTTGATCACACATGTAACATGTTCATCAACTTTTATTTAAACCTCCCATATTTTTCAAGGCCCTTTCTCAAACGCATATGCATATCCAAGGAAGAGAAGAGCATTTTATACCACAGTTTTACCATTTTCATGGCCCATAAATGCGCCTTTAGCTTTGTGTGCCATTTTTGTACATAAAGCAGGCCAAAAAATGCACCACAAACTGATCCAAAGGCTTAACGTGCCTTCATTGTGTCCTCCAGTAAAAAAATGTTAACATTTCTAAAAGCTGATAGAATGGCCTAGTAGTCATTTCATTAAGCCACACTCTCAAGATATCCAGTAATAAAACGTGAGAATTTGTATACTGTTAAATACTTACCATGCTGCACAATACATAATAATAACAACAATAACAATAATAATAATCATAATAAAAATAATAAATAGTGTGCCTTCCATGAGGGCCCATATAAGAGTGGATGATATGACAAAATATATATTATGATACTTTTCTGAGACATTTTCACAACACACAATAAGTACCACAATAGTGTAAATGCTACTATTGTGAAACGAAAGTGTCTAGGAGCAAAACTGCTGCTGGTGTGGTGTGAAGCTTGGCACAAACTGGACAGTGATGAGTCACGCTTAACTATATGGCAATTTGACGGACAAATCTAGATTTGGCAAATGCTGGGAGAACACTACCTACCAGAAGACACAGTGTGAAGTTTAGTGGAGTAGGGATAATGGTCTTGGACCCCTTAGTTCCAATGAAGGGTGATGTTAATGCTACAGCATACAAAGACATTTTAGACAATTATATGCTTCCAATTTTACGGCAACAGTTTGGGGAAGACCCTTTCCTGTTCCAGCATGAGTGCACCCCTGTGCACAAAGAAAAGTCCGTAAAGACATGGTTTGACGAGTTTGGTGTGGAGAAACTTGGGAATTTGGGATGAATTGGAGTGTCAATTGCTAGTACACCAAAGCCTCTTTTCCACACTGAGGTTCTCAGGGCTGTACTGGGTCATTCCGCGCCAGTACGGACTCATGAGACTGGTTACAGTTTCTTTTTCCATCTGTTTTGCGGCTAAATTGAACCAGGAAATACTGAAGAAAACTAGCATAACTATGGCCTAATAACCACACACACACACTGCCTACCACAAAACATGTTTGTTTCTGTCTTTTCATTCCAACACCCGCCATTTGACATTGTGCCCTCAGATCTTTATCCTCCAAATGGGTGGCATTTGAGCATCAGTTACTGAAACTGAGCCTGTACCGCAGTGAGTTGCACCTGTAGCTGGCTAACTATGTTAGCATTAGTGTAGCACAGCAGGGTACAGCTCAAAACACCACAGAACAATTCTATTTTTGTCTGTCTGTCACTTCAACACCAAATATTCAAATATTCGAGTCTTTATCCTCCAAACAGGTGTTTTTAAAGCATCGGTTTGCTGGAACTGAGCCTGTACAGTGGCGGGAGGCCCTGCACGCTCGCATTAGCTTAGCCTAGCAGGCTACAGCTCAAAACGTCTGTCACTCTACCACCAATCAGTTGACTATACTCTCGCTTTTATAAGTTTTCATCATCAATACTTGTGATAGCAGAACACCAGTTAGTCTAATCAAACCTGTACTGGGGTGGCACCTACTAGCTAATTAGCTAGGAGAGAGGAGCCAACTAGCATTATCTAGCTAGAAGGCAATAGAAGCTAATGCTATCCAGCTATTCTCTTCTGTTTAGCAACATCATTCAACATTTAGAAACTGTTGTTAGATTGAAGCTTTGACATTTCTTGAGTGCTGGACTGGAAGTTGTGCATTGCTTGTATTTATTTGGCATCCGTGTGAGCAAACTGAACTTGCTGATTGTGTTTGGATTTGAAATAACTCAGGGTGCGGTGTTACAATACCGACATAAACATAGAACCAGTCAGCGAATAGCTGCGTTGCTATGTCATCCCACTGAACATTTTTGTGGCCCTAAACACGGTTCCCTGTATCAAAAAAACCTGTGCTGAGCACGTTTTTCAAGCATTTTATGCCCGTTACACTTCTTGCTCATAACTGTTTGGCCCTAAGTTACTACATACTGATTGTTGTTGTGATTTACATGTTCTCTATAACGGGCCAAAAATCTGTCTTTTATGATCCATGCGGTTGTTGGGAACTCCAGAAGTACAGATGATACCCATGATACACTCAGAAAAGCGAATCATCGTGTATTTTATCACAATAATGACAAAATATCACCATACTGCCCATCCCTGATTAAGAGTGAATAATTTAGTTACCCAATGAAGAGTTTCTCCTGCATTAGCTAGTGTTTGGCAACCCCAACAGCCACAGGCCAACATTTCCCTCCCTCATGCCCTCTGTGTGCGCACGTATGTGAACGCTAACGGCTGCAGAACGTTATGCTGGTCTCCAGACATCTTGTTAGTCTGGGTCTAGTCTGAAAATCGCAGACAGGCCTGGGAGCTCTGTGCACTGCCGTTCTGACTGCTCCTCCTCGCACCAGGAACTTCCTAACGAAAATATTATATTATATAACGAGTTATATTCCTGTACTTCATTATCCATAAAAGCAACGGCACCTTTATATAAACTTTAGGTGCCAGCTCTACAGAAGATGTTTAACTATCAGCTCCAGTAAGTCCTCTGAAGCTTTAGTATAGGAAAGTCTTGAAGAAACCAAGAAGAACAGAGATGCTGGTTTCTTCCAGGACCTGCATTGAGCTCTATAGGCAGGAAAGGATTCGGAAATGACATGCTTCCTACTCTGTGTGCATTAGAACACATGGTACATGGTCTTTAATATGGCCATCATTCTGGACTATGCTACAGTATAAAAACCATTATCACATTTTGATTTAATTTAGACCTGTTTTTGCAAAACCGAAACAAATATATGACATATAATAATATATCCAAATATAAGTTTAAATCAGTTAATGTTGTGATGAGCTCTGAGTATCTGAGAAGCCTATTTCAGCTCTCACCATTTCATGGATTTGTTGTGTGGGCTCTAGTGCATGTACCACTGGGACGAATGGTGCAGACTTGTGATGTTACAAAGAGGAGCGAGTGTGTTACCTCTGGGACCAGGCGGTTGAGGTGTGTGATGCGATTGTGGTGGGAGGGGTGGGTGGACAACCACTCTGGAGTGGTGGGCTCTCCATCAGTTGCTCAGCTAGCTCCATCTGCTGCCAAAACACAGGCCCGGCCCTCACATCTGCACACGCCTATCGAAAAAGAGGGAAAGACAGACAGTTAGACAAAGTACTGTACTGTACTGAAGTACTGTTTCTACAGGAAACCCTCAATGACATATACACTGCAACTCAGCCAGGCTGCCTCCTGTCAAGTGACAAGGGTATCAGAGAGTTAGCCTGATATACGGTTACAGAGTCAGAGCGAGCGAGCGAGCGAGCGAGCGAGAGAGAGAGAGAGAGAGAGAGAGAGAGAGAGAGAGAGAGAGAGAGAGAGAGAATAGCAACAGAGCTACAAAACAGAAAGTAAGTAAATGAAGTGCTTGTGATTGTGTTTTTGCTAAACTGTTCATCGTATGCTGTGCTCACAAAGACCCTCTCCACAGCACCCTGAATCATGTCTAGCCCGACTAGCCCCTCACTGTTACCAGGGCAACATGCCTGTGTCCTTCCCTTTACTATGTGATGGAGGGGATGTGAGCAAACATGTGCAGAGGGGTGTCCATTATCAGGGAGGCACCCACTGACAGCAAAAGGGAAACTGACCACTTTGCTCTAAAGGAGGTCTGCTTAGAATGAAAAATATGAGGGCAGCATAGCTCTGGATGGCACACCAAACTCTCTAAAACAGCAGACACTGCTCTTCTAAGCCATAATTGCATGTGTAAACACTGCCATCTAATGGACAATGTGGATATGACATTTATCATAGATGCAATCTATCATTCCTAGCACAAAGAGGGAGAATGCACTGAATAATTGTTTGTCATACATCAGGTTGTTGCAACTATTGCCAAAAGAGTTGATTAACACTTACATAAATCTATTAAAGCTCTAATTGCTTTACAGAGAAAGAACAAATATAAACACGCATAAGAAAACAAGAAAAAGAAATGAAAAAGGCAGTTAAGCCATAAAGAAGGAAGAAAACAAAACAAAAAAAAATAACAAAAGTGTTGTGACTAAGAAAAAAAAACAATAAATACTTTAAAAAAAAATTGTTAATAAATCAATATCAAATAACAATATATACACACATATGCACTACTGTTCATAAGTTTGGAATCGTTTTACATATTAATAATTGTTAGTTAAATCTTTAATACAGTGAACATTAAAATACTGTAAACAGAGACACAGAACATTTTTTTAGATGTTTTAACTAAGAAATAATTTACTGTAATTATCTATTCATAGTTTTTTTCCCAAGTAATCTGCCTTGAGATTTAATCAATAGTTTTTAAGTATGGTGCATTCTGGATATTATATATATTATAACTTTATTCTTGATGTTATACAGCCTGAACCATCCACAGCTCTGTTATTAAAATTAATAATCCCTACTTATTATTTGAAAACTATGAAGTTGTTAGAATATTTACAGAATTTTTTTTTTTATTAATGCTAGACAAACTTTTGACCATCAGTGTATAATCGAGAGAAAATATTCTTAAAATTACTGAGAGTGCACAATTTGTGTCTAGAAGGGGTGGTCTTATCAAAATTGTTAAATTCAATTATAGACAATACCCATAATAAATAACACTTGTTCACATACCACAGTAGAACTGTTTGAATATATTGCTTTATATGAGCATTATATGAGCATGTAACTTATTAATGAGCGTATGTGCTGATGTTTGAAGTACCTTAGCAGCCAGTTTCAATCCAACCTGATCAGCCTCTGCTTCCAGTTTCCTACTGAAGGGTCGGTCAAACATGAACTACAACAGAGCCACACAAAGCATTCACTGAGTACGCTGCTAAGCAAGGAACAGTCTAGCAAAAAATCAGTTTCTCTCTCACCCCAAATGTAGTCAGAAGAGTTATGTTTAGTGTACTACGAGGCTAATGAACCCAGAACTAATGAAAATGTAAAACTATCAGTTGCTGTACAAACTGCATGCTTAAATCATCAGAGAGAGTTGTTAAGTAACCTCAGTATGAGAAACTGTTATCTATAATTATAGACAAAACTTAAGACAGAATTCAAGATGACTGCTGCTACTGTTAGCTATGCTAAACACTTTTGTCCTGTTTCTAGATATGGTATGTCACTGATATAGTTTGCGGGGTCTGATGATTTACGCATGCTTATTGTACAATTCTAACTGGTGGGTAGAAGTTTACATTATGTGTCATTCAAGTGTGAATGTAAAGAAGCACATTTCAGACCCCCAACATGTCTTATCTGATCATCTGATACACCAACTGTGTAAATTTGATTTGTGCTGAATTATTCATTTAAATTACACGGAAGCACCTTACATAGAGGTCACGGAAAAGGGAGGATCACGAGAAAGTGGCACAGACAAAGAGAAGTGAAAGGAGAAACAGAACAAAGGAAAGAAAACAAGAAAACTGTCAGGAGAGAGCAAGTATCTAGTTAGGAAGAACAAAACGTTCAATAAAATCTAAAGTGAGTTAGATAGCACTTACAATTGCAATTAAAACACACAGTGACCTACTATTATTACTTAAAAGTGCTAATATACAACTACATCCAGCATATATTTTGTTTCAAACCCGGACACAGAGATGTAGTGAAACTGCAGACTTTAGAACTGGAGTGTATAGAACACACAATGAGCCGTGCAGAAGAAAGTGTTACAGAGTTCTGATTCAGTGTGGATTTATAACTCGCATTAAAAAGGCAGTTTTAGAACAAAACACTGTAGGATCAATACGCAGACAGTGTTGGCTTGCTAGAGACTAAGAAGAACCCCAACTTTACTGAGAGATTGCATGGCTGACTTTTGTTTAACACTGAACAATTACATCATGCTTGCTGTATAACAGAATTTCTGTTTCCATAGATGGGCTACACGACTACTGCGCTCATAAGAGAATGCTTTTTGATGTATTTCGGTGGGAACAGCACTTTGTTTTACTTCCTTACAGGGCCAAAAGGGACAATTCGCAGTAAAAGGGACAGTCTGATGAAAAATCTAATTTTCACAGTTTTCCCCTTTACCTCAAGTACAGTCAGTCAGCAAAGATATGGGGTGTGAAGTTAGCTTATTAGGGCATGTGGTTTACAACAGTGTATGACATACTGTTATCTACTAAAATGGACAAAACGTACATTCAAAATTCAGACTCATCAATTACAATGAGGGAAATGGACAAATTACATGTACATCTGATGTTCTGCCAAACTACTGCTTTCATATTCAGGCATCTCTTACCTGGACCAGTTTACTTTGTATCCAGTGGCCCAGCAGAGCGAGGCTGTCTCGAGGACAGATGGCCCATATAACTGTCAACAGGATCAGAGACAACAAATCCACCACATGAGACATACTGGCCTGCTCAGCCTGAGAGAGAGAGAGAGAGAGAGAGAGAGAGAGAGAGAGAGAGAGAGAGAGAGAGAGAGAGAGAGGGGTGGGGGGGCAAAGACATAAAAAGAGGATAAGAGAGATAAAGAAAGAGGAGAAGAAAGAGGGGAGAACAAGAGAAAGACACACAGACAGAGAGATGGGGCAAAGAGGTGATGCAAAGAGAGAGAAAGAAGGGAGACAAACAGAATGAGAGAGAGACAGAGAAAATTAATATACACAGTGCACAGTCTTGAAAAAAGCTCATTATTTTAATATTCAGGGTAAGAGGCAGAGCTTTGTAAGTTTGTTTTTATAAGCTCATTTCATCATTCAAGTGTTAATTTGTTTGTGTTCTGTGGTTGTAAAGAGAAATTACAGAGCACGTTATTTTTATTGTTTATCACCCATTTTTTGACAGGCCAATTATGCGTGAGCACTTACCAAAACAACAAGAAAACAACAACACAAGCATCTAACAATTTCAAATGAACACAGATAAAAATTAATTATTAATCACCACCTGAATTAAAATACCACTGTGCAAATCCCAGCAGTCAGAGCCTTGTCTGCCAATGGCTCAGTGAGTAGCATTAGCAAAATGTGCCGCAATGCAGATGGCATCAGAACTTTATATTACCTCCTGGAGCCATCAAAAACAATCCTGTTCAAAACCCATCTTTTCAGAAAGCTAACGCGCCTCTCGCTTGCTTTTTCTTTAATACGGCCTCGCCATTTCACTCCCAGCAGCCTGGCTCCTTGAAATGCACTTTACTCAATCATTCTCATGTGTGTCTCAGGCCAGACAAACACGACACTCGTCTTATAAATATACAGTCTTTCTCTAAACTCTACAATCTTAGCTCTTCATAGACGCAGTGTAGAGGTAGACGTTTAACAGACACAGATAAGGATCTGGAAGCGACAGTCTTAATATGACTGACAAGGCTATAAAGTGATGGCACCTACAAGAAGTGCAATCGTTTTTATTTTTTCAGAATAATAGTAACGTTTGACACAGAAATATTGTGCTTTTATGAAATGCTAGAAACGTGACAGCTGCCGTTAAGGGTAATGAGCATCTTTAAGACCCTTACACATACGGAGAACTACCTCTATGTGTGCAAGAGAGTGTGTGGGCGTGCGAGAGACTGTAGAGACAGTAAAAGAGAGAGAGAGAAACGGAGAGAAAGAGACGGACAGACAGACAGGCATATGGCTATATAAGAGTCTGTTCATTATATCAAGCAAGAACCACCATCATAATTAAGAACTGACACACTACCAGGCAAATTACTGCCTGTTCTTTAACATGCCGAAACCGAAATTCAGGACAGAACTGACCAAGAAAAAGGAAACTGGAAAACAAAAAAAGCTGTCAATAAATAAAAACAGCTTAGATAAAATAAACTTTATTAAAAACGATTACATTTGCTTCAGCATGTGCCATGAAATCCTTGGCAACAGAGAAAGCTTTGTCATTCAAGGTGATATATTCTGTGTATTGAGATGGTATGTTTTCAAGTGGTATCAATACTGGAACCGAGAAGTTTTTGGGTGTTGTATCCCCTCTTGACACTCAGCGTGAAAAGAAATTATAAACTGATTATGTAATGTCCCTCGTAGAAACCTTGAAATAGTTCCACACTGTTGATCTGCAGCAGCTCAAACTGTTTAAACGCATAGGCGCCGACCATCACAGGAAAGTAAAAAAACTGTATTTAATCACTGTCTCATTTTCATTATAATCAATTATTTGTGAAGTCTTTGACTTTGACACTTCGTTGTGGTCCTATTTAATCTTTTTTTTGATTTTGGCCAAAATTTTCATGAACTGTTATTTTCGGCAGCTGAAGTTTTGGTGTATGTATTAAATTTACAGTTTCCTCCATACCCTAAATATAGTCAATCTGTCAAAGACATGTCTTGTGTCAGATGTCTGTTTCTTTAATTTTCCAATGGAGCTACAAGGCTAATATATCTACCAAGTAATACACACTGTTTACACTTAGCTTTAAAAAAACATCCCATATCTGGATGTTGTCCAGACAAGTGTAAACGAATGCGTTTGTAGCTGGAATGTGTTCGGATGTAGCTGTCCTGATCCAGAGGTACTCATGCATGCATTGCGATCGTATCTGTGCGTGTGTGTAAACGCAGTGTGGCCAGCTTGGCTACATTTAATCTTATATCACATACAATCCATCCACAACTTTCACTGTTGTAAGTTATTTCTAACCATTTGCACATGTATTCAAATGTAGGCTTGCAAATATTAAAGCTGAAAAGACATTTGCCACCTTTCCTATCACTCCTGGCTGTGATTTTAACTGATTTTTGTAATGAGTTGTAAAATGTACATAGTAAAATGTACCTGGCAATTGCAACATAATTTACAAAGCACTGAAAACTGTCTGTGTAGTATAGTAATTGTCTGTAAAGGCTACTCCTCTTTTATCTAGTGCCAAAGGAGCCTAATTTAAAAATGCAAATTCTGCATGAGGAAGTGAGATCTGATCAATGTCAGGATGTAAAAGCTATATCTGAAAAGGACAAGTGTAAACATGCTTTGTCTTGTTTGAATGATAATTCTAACACCATGATCCAATCAAGGTTAATGCCAACAAGGCCACAGAAGTATATAACCACTAATTAGCATTGTGCAAACTACACAGAGTTGTTTACTAATCCCAAATAAACTTGCTTATTTAGTTTCTGACACTGTACTTCATTCTTTTCTCTGCAAACATCTGATGGTTACATTCCTTCTTAATAAAAATAATTCATGACCACAACTCAGTGAGGCATAGGAACTAGTTAATTAAGTTGTGACCACGACTTAGTAAGGTGTGGGAAGAAGTTAAGTTGTGATAGTTAATTCATGGCCAAAACTTACTAAGGCATGGGAATGTGATCTTAAATTGTGGCCATGATTTAGTAAGGCGAAGAAGCAAGATAATTAAGTCATAGTATTAAGTTATTCCTACGCCTTAGTAAGACATTAACATGCACAGGGTTGAGTAGTAACAGAATACGTGTAACGGCGTTACGTAATTAGAATAGAAAAAAGTGGTAACTAATCCGTTGCAGTTACGGAATAAAAACCGTTATTAAATTGAGGTAAATAAGGGAAACGTACTGAATCATTCTACACTGATTAATTGTTTATCTGAGGTTTAGTCTAAGAGCATTTAGTCTTTCAAAAAATCCTGTTAAAATCACTCATTTTTTTTCCTGGGGAGCAAAACTTGATTTCTGAACTTCAAGATTTGAGTATGCATGTCTAAACTTAAACAAATTAACTCATACAGATTTGTCATCTTCATGTTTTAAATGTTTTCATATATTGCTCCACTTAGATTTTGCCATTTCGCTAAATGTGAGATCAGTGACTGTTTCTGTGAAGCATATATGTGAGACAATATTTAAGTCACTTGTGTGTTGAGTTAAACTCTTGTTAAAGTCTTGGTGAAATTATTTTTCTCTTCTCTTTAATTACACATCTTTAACGTACAATTAAATACTGTAGACAAGTAACCCAAAAGTAACTGAAAGTAATCAGATTACATTATTTTTAACACAGTAATCCTTTGGATTAAGTTATAACAGGTAATCAGTAATCTGTAACTGAATATGTTTGTAAAGCAACCCCCCCAACCCTGACCATGCATTAGGCATCCTGTTCTCATACTTTGGTAAGGGGTGGGACAGTACCAGCAGGGCTCTGTAGTTATCTAGAAAAATGGACCATGACTTATCCCATGACTTAATAAGGTGTGGGAACAAGATGATTAAGTTGTGGTAATAGTAGCCTCTTATCGACTGGCCTTCTAATTTATTTGTTTTTATTGGAAGATTTAATCATTTTGATTTTTAACAACAGTTTCTGCTTCACTGTGTATTTAAACTACACTGGTTTCATTGTTTTATTTTTTTTGTAACTCTGATGACGTCCTGTGTATTGAAATGCACTAGTTTAAAATAAAGTTTCATAGCAACTTAGCATGGACACAACTTAGGCAGGGAAGCACTTAATCTCATTCCCACAACTTACTAAGTCATTGCCACGCATTAGGTAGTTATCGATAAAAAAACAGACATAAGCATTTTGCTAAGCTAAAAATCTGAACTGTGTCTGGCCCATTTTTATTAACTGATCCACAGCATTCAGGGGACAAACAACTTTCATTTTTGTCAATTTATTCCTTCCTTTGAAAGTTTTAATGCAGCAGAAACAGAAGGCTCCAAAAATCTGTGAAGAAAGCTGAGCGAATCTCCTTGCTATGGCTGTCATTAACTCTCAGTGTGATGAGGACTCCAGTAATGATGGCCATAACAAGCATGGACCATGCCAATAATACAGTGCTGACTGCGCTGTGCTTCTTCAAATCTTGCCCCCAGACTCACTGCAGTGTACTGATATATCAGTGCCAAAACTATGGAGATTCCCATTAAAACTGAGCCCTTATTTGCACTTAGTATATTTCAGAGAGACAGCACATTTCATTGGAATTTAACCCCAGCACAGAGATGAAAGTAAAACATGATATGGCCAAAGAGAGATAAACAAGCAGTTTAAACCCAATGAAGAGTGCTTTACCTCTAAGGCAAAACGCAACAGGACAGAAAGAGGAGGATGGAATACTAATGCATCTCTTTAAACATTACGAGCTGCACACACCACAGGCCTACATGATTCTGATGAGACAGGCAAACCAGACTGGGAGCTCACGCAGCTCTCACAGTACGCAAAGAAAAAGTGAATTGAAATGAAACAATTCCACATTTATGTGCTAATGACAACAGCGAAAGCCAATAAAGGAACTGGCATAATTGGGTGGGACTTACAGCATGACCAATCAGAGCGTGGGACATCTCATGCCCCAATACAATGGCCAGCTGATGAATGTCAGCAACAGCCTCCAGCATTCCTGTAAACACAAATATATTCCCATTCTGTCTCACACACACACACACACACACACACACACACACACACACACACACACGTAATCAGTACACAACAAGAATAGGTTTTATTTAAAATTTTAATAAATAATTTTGCTTTAAAATGAATCCCAAAAAAATAGTCCTTTTGAAATATTTGGCTAAATACATTAATTTGTTCCTTTTAAGATGTCTTAACTACCAAAACAGAAGATAGTGAGACACATGTTTGCTGTGTTATTGGTTGCTGAAAATCTATGAAAAAATACATGCATTTGTGCGCTGGAATAAGTGCTGGAATAACAATTTTAAGGAGCTGTAAAAACAAAGAAAACAAATTTAATGATGAACCGAGCTGTAGATGCTTCCACAGCTATATAGTCAACAAATGTGGTTCCCAAACTTTTTTACAGTCCAGTAGCCCCTTAACCCTCTCGAATCTCCTGCTGGACACCCCACTTGCCCATTGCATATGCAGTATGCATACATGCGCATGCGGCTATGATGCTATGATGTAAGATATTTAATCTTGTAAAATCGATCCCCATAATATATCAATCATGTTTATGATGTGATGACACATCACACCAGATATACTGAGCAGAACTGAATGAGTAAGTGAATGAATGAAGGAATGAAGTTAGGGATGCCTCTAAGGCCTGTTTCATATGCATGGTTCATTCTGGACTGCTGGTCAGAGCGTAAGGATGAGGAAGGGGAGTGAACTTTTTTCATTTGTAATAACAAAGTCAGCAGCAAAAACAGTGATCAATATGAGGACACGTGCTGTAAAATAAATAGTGAATAACAAAAATGTTCATTAACACATGCCACAGATCACAAACATCCTTCACTAAGCATTCAACAGCCTTGAAACAGCTCTACAAATAAAATGCTAATCGCTAAGCACTAAGCACAACAGACTGAAAACTTACAACCCCACACTAAACCACATCTGTGAAAGAAAAAATAATTTCAATACACAATTAACAAGGACCATATAGATAACTAAATGAACTCTACTGTCATTAGTCTCCCCTAAACGAGGCCAGGGTACAACACCTTCCTCTCCAACAAGCCTTTATACAGACAATAATACATAAAGAGCAAAAAACATTTTAGAGTATGGGTTTGCCATATGCAAATATCACACTCACTCATCACTTATGCATACGCTCGATGTATAAAAGTACACATCGCTATCCAGAAATGAATATTAAATAAAGTGGAAATCTCTGAAATTTTGGGACATACAACCAACCTCATTGGACATACATCAGGGAATACATGTACCTCAGTTTGAGAACCAGTGCTGTATAATAAAAAAATAAAATTATAATAAAAAACTTATAACAAAAAGAATAGCCATGTATGTTATTATGTAAAAACACTTCATACTTAACACTTAACAAGAGATTCCAAATTAATAAATGGAAGTATATGGCCACACCTAAGCACATCAGATCTTTCAAACTTTGTAGCACCTTTTCTATGGCAAAAATGAAGCCCCTGGCTACATTTACAGCCCCTACATCTCAGAAACAAATTAAGATACAAGCCTAAAATTTTAAACACTATGTATTAGCCACAATGACTTAATTTCCTCAAAGTATTAGGCAAATCTTCACTGTCTCTAACTAGTGATGGTCAGACATAGCAGCATGTATTTGGTGAGACTGAAAACAGACAGAGGGACCATTTCCAACTCTGACAATTCAGTACACATTTCAAGAATGTGTTTATTTTAACAATGTTAAAACCCAACACGCCATCTAAGAATCTGTGACTGAATAATCTCACATTCAGAGCTGTGATGCTGAACTTGACTGAACCGAATCATTAGGATAAAATAAAATCAAGATGGTTCTACTGCTTGATGATTTTTTGATTCTCCTGAGGGACTTACAGGCAGAACAAAGGCGTTGACAGAGGGTCTGTCTACCACACGAACATTCCAGGGCAAGGAATTAATCCCTTCAATGTCGCAGTTCCTTTGGACCAAGCGCTGGACCACTTGTTCAACCACCTGATGCCTGGGGTCTGAAACAGGAATGAATGCATCCACATACTCCTCCACGCACTGAATAAGTTTGAAAGAGAGAAAGAGAAAAACATGTAAAATGTATAGTAATATAAACATGGCCAATTTTGTCACATAAATATTGAAAAATATACAATTTTACAGAACGTCATCTTGTGCTACTTTTCTTGTCGTTTCACTGTAGCATTAGTGAAATGGCCACATTATTATGTTCCCTGACTGCATACATATCAGCATTATGTCTACAGAAACCTCCTGTAGACCTCCTGTTCACCTTAAGTGAAAGAGCCCTACCACATCTGAAGCATGTTGGGCCAGCTCCATAAAGGTCTCTCTGCTAAAAACCAGCAATCTGCTTCTGCCAGTGACTGGAGACTCTTCCAGGTGGGTGAAGAAAAAGAGTGAAATGAAGAACAGCAGGCCTGTTCCAGCTCCTACCAGGTGCCATCGCCGCTGCCATGCCCACTCACGGAAAAGCTGCTTCTTATTAGGAGGCAAAGCCTTCCACCACTTCCTGATACTTCTATGTAAGAGAAAGGGAGAAGCGGTTCTGACAGCTTCACGATCGTCTTCGACAGCTCACTTACATGTGTGTTTAGTTGACAAAGTTGTCAAATAATCAAAAGACAAGAAATAAAAGATGATGAAAACAGTTGCAAGTACTAATAATTGGAACATCATCAGTTTCATACCATCTAAATTTAACCAGATATGGACATAAACCAATCCAACATATAAGTTAATATTTATACCTGTACTAAAGTTTTTAATAGGAAAGAGAATGTCCTTCATGAATGAAAACATGGCAGCTTTCACAAAGAGGTGTATTTGTATGTATGTATTATTTGAAGGAAAACTATTTGAATTAATATTATTTTAAAGAGCAGTAAAGTGGTGTATTTGTATGTAGGTTAAGTGTGCCCATTAAGTCTGTCAAAATCTTTTCTCAGGTATTTTCACAGATATTGACCTTTATAATGAATATCCGGTGGGAAAATTCAATATTAATCTCCAATTTGAACATGTATTGATTAATTCAATAGAATATAGAGAAATCTTATGAAATACATCAAAAATCTGGCATGGGCTTAATTAGCACTGTGGCACCATTTAAGCCTGTGTGTGTTCCAATAAGCCCAAATCATGATTTACTGACAAAATATAAAAAATGTGTTGTTTTCAAAATAAATTCAAAACAAGAAATGCCTCCTCTCCCTTTACTAATGCTTGTTTGCTCTCTCTCTTCCATTACCTGAACCAACAACCCTCAACATGTCAAAAACATAGTTAATGCAGAACAACACATGAATTGCTGGTAATTCCATTTCATGCAGTAATTTTATTAGTTAACTGATGTCATTGCTTTTTTTGTTATTTTGTAGAGGGTCTCTATTTCCCTATGACTGTTGACATAAAAAGGGTCAGCACCCTCCAGGTTAGCCTGGCAAAGGATGAACCTGCGTTTACCATCTTTAACCTTCTCCCACAAAGGTAGATTAAAAGGGTCATGATAAAGGCAACATGCCTCTACGAGTTTTTGACAGGTGCTGTAGCTTTTTTCTACTTGTCATTTTTCTCACTGAAAACAAATAACACACATTAGCTGATGCTAATATAATAATTCGAAGTTCGTAATTAGAGGAACTCCTCAAACATGATGAGGTGGGCTTAAATGGTTCCACGGTGAGTGATACTGAAAAAAGACAATCTGTTACCTCCTAAACAAAAGATGCATTTATAAAATCATGCATGGGAGCCTAAATATAATGTGGACTAAGTATCATATTATTATTTTGCCCAGATACAGAAATATAAAGTTATTCTTATTCAAAGTTAGCTTGCATTGGCTGTAGTTGGCATGCTTTTTGTAGCGCTGCACCATTTAAGCCCACCTTAAGAATAAAAAGAATAACTGTCTAGAACAATTTATGATGTATTTATTCATAGACTAATGTAAAATGAATAAAACTTTCAGTGTACATACTTAACATGCTTAATTATTTGGTAGTGTATCTCTCAATGAAGCTAATGATTGAAGCTGATGAAACCATGAATTCTGATGTCTATGAGAAAATCCTGAAGGGGAATGCCCACCCATCAGTTTGTGACCTAAAGCTCAAGCGCAGTTGGATTAGGCAGCAGGACAATGATCTGAAGCTCACAAGCAAGTCCACCTCTGAATGCCTCAAAAGAAACAAAATTAAAGCTTTGTAGTGGCTGAGTCAAAGTCCCATTGAGATGCTATTGCGAGGCCTAAATAGGCAGTTCATGCTCGAAAACCTTCCAACGTTGCCAAATTAAAACCATTCTGCAAAGACAAGTGGGTCAAAATGTATATGTATATGCATCATCTACACAATTTAATACCTGTGGGATGAGTTGCAGTTGGAGTGATCCAGAACTAATCACCCAACATCAGTACCAGACCTCACTGATAACCTTGTGGCGGAATACAATCAAATCACCACAGTATTTAAGGTGTCCCAACATCTAGTGTAAATCCTTCTCAGAAGGTTGTTATTGCAGCAAAGGGGGGACAAACTCACTATGAGAAGCCTTTCATTTCAGAAGAAACGTTGGATGAGCAGGTGTTTACAAACTTCTGTACATATAGTGCACCACTGCGCCAGGCTTGAGCTATAAACACACTTTCCATAATTCAGACTGTACATGTGAAACAAAGCGGAAAATATTGTCAAAATTGTCTTCCAGCACTGCAGGGCCTCTCACCTTCCTATTATGATAGCTGCCACCTTTTGGAGAGGTCTGAGGACCAGCCATATGAAGGGGGCTGGGAGGGCTCGGAGTGCAGCCGAAGTGTGGAAGTTTTTCGCAGGTTCAGTTATTGCTGAGAAACGGACATTTACAGTAACGTTACCCGAATAAACGAGGCTTGTTTTCTGGAGTCGAGTCCACTCCTTAAAGCTCCGGAAAGGAGCAGAGAGCCTCGTGTTTCCCTGAGATGTGTGCGGCTGCCATCGAAGCAGAGGACGAGCATGTACGGTCCGAAACCGGTGCAGTGTGAGAAAAGGGGATACGGTTTGGGTTTTAAACAGACGAAGGCAAATCAAAGCCATTTTAGCTCCGTCTATCCAGTTCTATATAGTTAAAACTGACTAGCCGTTAGATGGCAAACTGTCAAGCTTTGCTGAACCTCGAGTGCTGCTCAGATACGCTATGATAAAGTCATTGTAGCAGTGTTTAAATACTGGCCGTGGTTATTTTGCATTAAAAACAGTATCGTAACGTATCGCATCGCACTGGCTCGCATCATCAGCTAACTTATCAAGGCTGCTGGTCAAAATGAATGAGTCCGCTAAATCATCTAACATTAGTCAGACCGCTGTAAGTAAAGGCACACACGTAAGACAGTAACCCTGGTTAGCGGGACAGAACTCACGGTCACGTATTTAACGTTATATAGTTTACAAAATGATCTAACGCCGGTCAGTTTAATCGCAGTGACCTCCGAGACTTAAAAACTTCCATCATTGACTAGCGTGCTACATGAAAAACAATCCCTCCTTCAACCACCTATGCAAATATGGTTCCGCCCTGTGGTGCTCTTTACTTCGCAGGTAGGTTTAGTTATTTTGTTCTACAGGGAGATTCACTCGAAAGAGGCCCCGACTATTCTGTAATAACTCTCTCTAGGATGAAGCAACCTGAACTAAACAACGTGCAATGTGCTCCTCTGTACATGGAGCTTCGAACAAGCCGGGATGCCCCTGCGTCGGAGCGATGAGGTAGGCGCCGGACAGCCGTCGCGACGTTTGACCTCTGTTTGCAACTCCCGGGTGCAGACCCCCGCACCCCTTCATGTGTCCGGCAGAAAATAGAGATCACTTCCAGCATCGCACCTAATGCAATCGATTACACAGACGTCAAAGTATGCAGCATATTTTTTTGGATCTGATTACTTCATCCTAACGGGAATTACAACAGAATATTCGGGGCCTCTTTCGAGTGAATCTCCCTGTAGTAGCATAAAGACATTTGAAACTCAGTCATAAAAACAATTCATCCAGCTACAGGAACTGGATAACATCTTTATTACCAAACCTCGATGTGAGATCTACAACCAGGCCCAGGTCACTAAATGCGTCCAAATATATATATATGTTAATTAGTTAACGGAATTTTACACTTAAAAAAAGGGTCAGTGATGGATTTACATTTAAGGTATATGTCTCGTTCAGCTCAGTATATTCAGGTATTTTGGGACATTTTAAAAGACTTAATTAAATTTTAGCTGCTGCTTCATTAATTTCTACATTAAAGAGAATCAAACAATCGCTTTATCATTGAGGGCCTCCAACCTGTGTTTACCTGAACCCACCTTATTAATTAGCACTTTCAACAGGAACACTGTGCGTTTAGAAAAAGTAAACGCTGATTAAGGTGCTAACAGAATATGTTTGTAATTTCTTTTATGAAAAGGAGAAGAAACACTGATCTTAAAAAAGGAAAGTGTAAAACAATGGCTTTTCATCAATTAAATACATTAAATGATTGACATGCTCACTCTGAGTGTAATGAACCTACAATAACACTTTTCCATGTTGTGTAGGTGATGAGCAAACAAGGCACACCATTTCACATAAATGATTTTTGGAACAGTCTCATTTTAACATGTAACACATTTACATTACTCTCTGCAACAATAAAAGCTTGTCTTCAGGTCAGATGAGTGTCATTACTCATTTTCTGCACTGATTGACTGTGTAAGAGGCACAGTGACTTCTGTACTGGCTTCTGACTTCTGTATAACTTGGCTGCCAGGACTTGAGGAGCAAGGTTTAACAGAGTTGCTGGCATTAGTGACAGATTCCTCTTCTGTAGTAAACGTCTCATCAAAGTCCAAGGCTGCGCTGCTGTCTGCTGGATCAGAGGAGGTGAATGTGAGTAAAGGGGACTGTGTAATTGGCTCATGGAGATGAGAGGAACAGCCAGCCTCATCTTGGGCAGTCTCCTGCTTATCAATGAAGTGTGTAATGAACAAAGTTTCAATCTGGACAAGGAAAGTCTCTGCTTCTGTCTCTGGTACCTCTGCAAGAATATTCTTCAACGATACAAGCAGCTGCAGAACAGATACACAATCACAGTTAGTTAAACATTCTATGACTACACTGCGCTACCGAAGCAAAGCTTGTCTTCATTATTTTATTACCTTTTCCAGACATGTGAGGGTGGAATCTCTGCGAAACAGTCTGTCCATGGGTACACACCTGAAAGAAGAAACCCACAGAGTGGATTATAGGGTAAATAAAAATAACTATTTTTAGTACATCCCAAATGTAAGAAGCCAAACACTGCAATAAATCTAAATCTAAAGTGGTTACATATCATTGACTCCTCCTCAGCGGTTAATCTGATGTATAAACAGAAGTAACTGTTTTATTTTATTTTTGTTTTTTCTATGTACTCTGTCAGATAAGCATTTTTGAGGATGTGTGAGATGTTTTAAGATTGTATTAATTTGTACATTTTAATGTGAGCTTTTTAAGGTGCCTTTCAATATCTGGTCAGGGGGCAACATGATGACAACTAAAAAAGTGCATTTCCTGAAGAAAATTCAGAGTGACTGCACAGTTTAAGCAAATCTCCAGTTTTGCTAGAGTGCTGCTATGGTCTAAGGTGGTTACTAGGAAAATCATACGGGGTTGCTATAGTACTCCAAATGGTTGCAAAGGTGGTGCATGTAGTTATCTATGATATTCTGGGTGTTTGCTAGGTTGCTGCTAGTTTTTGCTATGATATTGCAGGTGGTTACTAGGGTGTTGCTAGGTGGCTGATATGGTATTCCAGGTAGTTGCTGTGGTGTTGATATGATTTTTTTATTTAAGTTGGTTTCTAACCTGTTGCTAGGGTGTTGCTTGGAGGATGCTTTGGTATCTCTGGTGGTTGCTACGGTAGTGGAGGTGACTGCTAAGATGTTGTTAGGTGGTTACTATGGTATCTTCCATGGTTGCTAGGGTATTGCTTGGTGGTTGCTAAGCTATCTCCGATAATGAAATTTGATAATAATAATTGAATTACACTATTGTTCCAAACTAAACAATCACAAATTAGTCTTTTGGGCTAATTAGTTTTGTTGATACTGTTAATTAAAGGGTGCTGCCTTTGATAAATGTATATGTAAAACAAAATATAAAAAGTGCACCAACCCATGAGACCCCTTGTATTTGAACACCACCCATTCTGCTCTTCTCATCACCTCTGTCCAGTCAGGAAGCTCAGCAGAGACTCGATACTCAAACTTGTATGGATGCTCTAAAATATATATGCACATCACACACAAAACTTAATACATCACATGTAAAACTTTTCCTATAAATGGGTTTTCCCACAAAAAACACACTTGCTGTGGTCATAGATTTTGAAATAATTGGCAATAGTTTTTTTTTTTTTAAACTTTTTAAAGATTTACAGTGAACAACATGTTTTTGGAACCGTGTTAAACTCCACAGAACAATGATGTTTGGACATTCAGCTTGATTCTGTGTTGAACAAAAGCTTAGTACGCACTCTGAGAGCCAGCAGGCCCTGTTTCTTCCTGCACGAGTAGACAGGTGGTCTGGGACACAGGAGAGGGGTTACTGGGGTTATATGGGCTCACAATCATCCCTATAAATGGAGCTCCTCCTCGAGAGAAATAACTCTACAAGAAGAAATCACAAGACACAGAAACAAATCAGTCAGAGTGCCAGACACAGAGAACGAGAAAAGGCCTTATTCTCTGTTTGATAACTTCAATTTAATAGAAAGATACAGTGCTGTGAGACACCAATGTGCAGAGACAGTTTCAGAGGTAGTATGGAGGGACTCTGCTCCTTCCATTTAATTTTAGTGTGTTTAGTTCGACTTTAAGCATTTCAATTAAATTTTCAATTAAATTTTATTTGTGTAGCGCTTTTTGTAACTCCCTAAGAGGAAAAGGAGGAAACCTTGAGAGGAACCAAGACTCAAAAGGGGAACCCATCCTCCTCTGGTACAATACCAGACAGCAAAACAATATCATAACAATATGAACAAAAGATAAAGTATGGGCTAATGAGTAATGTTGAAAACTGAATAAATGAAATACAAAGCCTGTCAATAGTTAGGATGAGAATTTAGTCCATGAAAATGAATGACTAAATGTTAGAAGCCTATAATGACGAAATGCTACTATGAATCTGTAAAGAACTAAATATAGTGTGGGTCAAGTAAACAATGTCTAGGATTGAACAGTTCTAGTTTAGAGCTTAGTTAGAGTCTGCATGCACCAAGCTCATTACTTTATTTTATTTTGTGGGCATCAATTGTTAAGAATTTCCCTGTGTAGGATTTATAAACTCACCCCTCCTCCTTCTCCTCCCACTACTACTCCGACTACTTTAATCTCATCAGTGTATAATGTATTTATAATCAGTATTATGCTTGTGTTTATTTGTATTTATGTCATTGTTTATTTATATAATTGTCTTAGTAAATTACCACGATCTCCTACCTGGTATTTGGCCTGGGTGTCAGTGTCCCTGAGGGAAGGGTTGGGATCAAAGGCTGGATGAGAGTGATACCAGCCAACTACATTGTGACCTTTGGCCTCCAGGAGCTCAGAGGCCTGTGTCTGGGAGACAGGGTCCATTTCACACTGCAGTCCAGTGCTGAGGCTGTTACATGGTTCTGCTGCACAGATCTACAAACACATATATCAACAGTTTATCAACTACCTAACATTACCACCTTTACATCACCCATGTAGTAACATTACTGGTAACCTATCATTCACATTTAAAGGTAGACTTCATTTTATTTATATGTTATTTGAGTAATATTCCAGGCTTCAGTAACAAACCATATGAGCAGTACTAAAGTACTCACCCTCAACACTTTCTCTTCATCATCATAAGATCCACCCAGCAGTCCAATCACCTCTCCCATAGAAACGTGAGCATGCTGGCAGAACAGAGAGAAAAAGGCTCAGAAACTGTACAGTATTGGAGGACATTCCTATACAGTAGAGTTTCTGTACTGGTGGTCCCTTTAATTAATGAATTCAGCTGCTTTAAGGTGCACCCATTGCTGACAAAGGGTTTTCAATTGCACATTCTCAGCTTGTACAATCTCCATAGAAAAGCACTGCCAATAGAATGGGACACTCAGGAGCAGCTATACATGAGCCTAGTCATCATGCCCAATGGCAATACCTTCTCAGCACTAAGCTGAGGAGCCGTTAGAACTGTGTTCTCTGGCATGATGGAGCACCATCTAATACTTTTGGGATGAGCTGGAGTGGCATTTGTGACTCAGAACTAATCCTCCAACATCAGGATTGAGTTGCACTAGTTAAATATGTGCATAAAGTCTTCAATAACCTCTTAGTTTATTGAAGTAGTTTGCTTGAAACTATTGTTTACTAATTTGAAACATAAAATGTAGAGTAAAATGAAGTGTACACCCTTATAGTTTTACAACTGAACAGAATAAAACTGACTTCCTATAAGCATTGTTTATTTTTTCATATTTCATTGTGACATCCAAGTGTGAATTTGCAGGGTTTACTGGCCAACCCACACAATTGGAGTATCAGTGTAGAAGAGTCTCACTGCACTTCACTGCAAAATGTTCCTTTGAAGAACAGAGGCTGTTACTGCAGCAAAATGGGGAGAAACTCACTATTAATACCCCTGATTTTTGGATAAGCAGCTGTCCACAAACTTCGGACCAAAAATACAAACCATCCTTACTAAATACATTTTGTCATGGCATCACTGTATTTGGTTCCGCTGACCAGATTTACAGCCACTGGCTATAAGATGCATCTGTTGTCCCTGTGTCTGGGTCATGTCTCTATGTCCAATAACCAATTTGTATTTTACTGCACACACTGAGGTACTCAAGGCCCACACATACAAATAACCTGCTGTAAACATACCACATCCATGACAACCAAAGCTTCTGCGCACACTATCACTCGGAATGGTTCCTGAAGATGAAGGAAAATGTGATATTAATGGAGAATATTCGTCATGCACTCTTACAATATGTTTCTGACAAAATGTGCTTGGAAGACTTTTACCTGTTTCTCCTCTCCGAAGGCCTTGCATGGAATAAGCTGGAATGGGTCAAAAGAGCTGCAGAGCAAAAAATGCACAGGAAAATGTTTGTTTAGATGCTCCTCATTTTTTAACCCCACTAAAGAATATACCATAATTTTTCAAGTAAGAAATGGGTCGAATGATTCAAACAGACACAGACAAATGCTCACCCGCGTTTAGGGAGTTTGCAGGGCTTTGGTTGCCTTTTCCTCATTTCTTCCCTCCTAAGAGCTAGCTCCTCTGCACTCAAATGCTAATAGAAAAAGATAGAATGCACAAAAAAAAAACTTGAAATTTTTAATAAGTAACAAATTAGTCACGTAGCAGAGCGTTGCTATAGAATGCATGCAGCAAAAGCACCGACAAACAGCAAGTTCAAGTTTGTTTTTATACTCTACTGGAACACATTTAATTAAATAGAACTTTAACGTTATTTATCACGCTTGGCATCAGTCTACTACCTCTTCACAAATTCACTGTTTTTGGGATAAAAGACATATAGTGAACAACCTTAAGTCTTAGGATTAATAGCAAGGGCCAGTGTGGCTGCAGGTTGTCATTTTCAACAAGCTGCAGCACACCTGTTTTCACCTCAGAAGACTGGCATTAATGTGGCATATACATAGTATCTATACAAGGCAGTTACATTCAGTAGTATGCAAAAGTTTGACCACACCCAGTCATATTCCATTTTTGTTTGTTTTCTAGGTGAAAATAAGCTAACACATCCTCTAAAGAAAAAAAAACATGACATTAATTGTGCCATAACTTGCACAGGCCACACATGCAGAAGTGTGCACTTTTTGTTGATTTTGTTCATAAAAATAACGTCATTTGACCAGATGTGCCCATATTTTTGCATAAACCTGTAACTAACTACACTGGAATACCAAGATTGATAGTTTTACACTTAAATATAAAAGTTTTTTTTTTGTTTTACAAATTTAACATATTTCACGAGTCTCTTAACATTCAAATGTCTGAGCGATTCCACTACCTCGTATGTCTGGCCCTCCAGATCTCTGGCATCACACCAGTTTCCCCATATGTCTCGCACTCGCCGCTTTCTTGTGCGCTGAAAAGAAAAAAAAATCAATCAATAATCAACAATCAATATAGTGGCCACAATGCCAGCTGCTGGAAGCAATCTTGTCTTAGCTATGTGAAGATAAAAGGCCCTAGTTACTACAACTAATATGTTAGGCTGCATCTACTAAATCTGCTCAGTGATAAAACCTGAGCTGACATATTAAAGGTACCCCTAGCACAGCAGTGGTAGTAGATATTATGAGAATAATTGCCACAGGCCTCTCTCACCATTGACTGCAACCTCTGAGCCAGCTGATAGGCCTCCAGGCTGTCCCGGTTCTCCTTCAGACGAGAGCGGTCTACTGGCCGTGGACGATTATAGATGGCCTGTTCTACAGGGTGGAAGGACAGACGGATGTTTTAATGAACAGAACAGATTACAGAGACCAAAAGAGTAACTAAAGAGAGACTGAAGGTTAGAGCTTTACCACAGTTGAAGTTGATAGCCCCTATGAGCTCCAGGTACGTGTGTATTCGGCCGATGCAGTTCACATCCCCACAATTCTTCAAGCCAGGGCGCACCGATGTCTTATTCAAGTACTTGGGTTTACTCTTTTCCCTAACGCAAACATATACACACACACACACTAATGCTGAGCAGACCACAGACATATAACATCTGGCAGAACACCAAGAACATCTATACTATAACCTCTACATTTTGCAGTTTCCCAATTTTATATTAGACTATATCTAGCTCAGTGATGGCTACAAAAGTCATTGTTGTCTTTCTGTAAAAGACACCTTTTATTAGAATACACTTATATTGTATTATATTACTTATGTATTAGCACCTCCTCTCCAGACTCACCATTGGTCCAGTATGTAGTTGCGGATTTTCAGATATCTCTCTGGAGTTTTTGATGGACGGCCCTCAAAGAACTCTGGGATGGCCTGCTTTTCTTCTTCAGTAATGGTGCTTGTGTCCAGTGTCACTTCCTGTTCAGGAGCCTTCAGCTCCTCCTCTTCCTCCTGGTCCTCTTCTGCTTCTTCCACTGGACTACTCCCCACTTTATCTACAACAAAAGAATACCAATGTCAGTAGGTCTCAATAGTGACGATACTGTATAATTTGTGCAACTGCTGCCACTCACTACTTTTTCTATGCCTATTAACAAACAAGCTTAGAAAACATAGTTTAAAAAAGACATCAGTGTTGGCAAATTGACCTAACTGTAAAATATTTTAACTTCTTCCTGTACTCTTTTGGCCTGTAGTGTAACTGCAGTGGGCAGCACATACCTTCAGCACTCTCATCTCCAGGCAGGGTGCATGTCTCAGGACTTGCGTCAGAGTTAAAGGCCTCTCTCTGCTCTCCAGCTTCTGGCTCAGCCACTGACTGAGAGTGTCCGCTGTTCACTTCAGAGCTTAGATCTACAGGTCCGATAGTCAGTTCCCCTGGATTCAAAAGGTGGTTGTTCAATCTGCCTGTAGAAGGCACTACTGGAGCAATCTCTCCTTGGACTTGAGGCTGCTCGAACACTTTACGCTCATCCCCAAGATCTAACTGGCTCTCTGGCTGGGAGGCATTGTCACTGAGATCATCAGTGATGTCAACATCCTCATCATCAGACAAATGTTCGATACGTACAGCATTGGTCAGTACAGAGAGGTGTTGCTGGACAGAGGGAGGGCTTGATACAGAGGCTGGGGTGTGAAGTATTGAACTCTGGGGCTTGACAGAGGACTCTTCAGCATGACCTTCAGTTTTAGCCTATTGTTAAAAGATTAGAGTAAAACATGTGATATCAGTCTTACAGCTGCTCTTAGAGATACATCAATACTGACACTGGTATCAGATACTGCCCCGATACGGTGCTCATTTACTCATAAGAATGTACTGATAACAACACCTGATACCACCTGATAGCATGTGACGTAAGCTTGGTGTACGTTGTCTCACAAATGAATGAAAAACGGTTGGTGAATGAGGCCCATTGGGTCCATGACATACCTTGTTTTTGAAGTACTGCCTGGCATAGCTCTTCACTTGAAGAACTGTCCTAGTGCCAATTAGTTTTGCAATTTTGGTCCACCTCCGCCCATACTGAGCCTAGAGACCACACAACAGAGCTCAGCAAATATGCCTGAATTCTAATAGTATTATTAGCAGCTTATTATTATTACTATTCTTATACACAATTATGTTTATTGTTGCATTTCCTCCTAAAAATATCATGGCAAAAAAATGTCTTTAAAAAGTAAACACAAACATACCAGTCCCTTCTCAAAGAGGTCCTTCTCCTCTGGTGCCCAACGAGTTGGGGCTCCAGAGCTCTTCACCGGTGACCTGCACACAGACAAACTGTTCACAAGAACAGTCTAGATGCATTCTCATGCTGTAAACTTACATTTACAGCTAGTGTAAAATGTTTCAGGTGCTGCTTCACTTACTTCTTTACTCTAGGCTTTTCCTCTGTCCATGCCACTTTAGGTACCTTCTTACCAGCAAAATAATACCTGAAGATAGTAAAGGAAATATAGAGCTGCTTTCTGACAACAAACAAGTCAACCGTAAAAAAGAGCCAAGGTGGATTCTGACAGCATGGCTAAAAAAAAAGGATACTGCTCTTCCAACAGCATGCTCTCAATGACCTCTCGGTTCTCATCACTAATTGAGCTGTCCAGGGTCCATGGCTGACGGAAGGAAGAACAACAACATGAGCAGACTAAACCAGCGGATGACACAAGCTGTATCAGTATTAGGAGTGGGATTACATCTATATCTATATGAGGTTATATCATAATTTATGACGATAACGATATCAACAACGTCATATTGTCCTCCCCCAATCAGTATTATAATCAGATAATGTTACCTTACCAAGATAGCAGTGTTGGTCTTCCATGCTGACTGTAAATACTGGTCTTGAAGGATCATCGCTCCAGTAAGATCACTAGAAAATCATGTAGCTAACGTTAGCTCAGTTAACCCAAAACTGCAGATGAGAACTCACAAAAAACAGAGAACACGTTCACACATGTTTGTTGGCCAGGCCATTAAAAAGCCTTGACTTTAATCTTCAAACTCTCTGGAAAGAAATAACTAATACTAAAACACATAAAACACGCTGAATGGACTAGCTGAACAGAATCAATGAGACATGGGGAAAGCTAGCGAGCTAGCTAGCAGCCAGCTAACTAACGTTACCTAGCACGGAAACAACGGTTGCAGATATTTACACCAGGTAAAGCTACCACTGATGAACATTAGCTAAGTTACTAATGAGAGCTGGACTCTAATTCTTATCAAACTCCTGGACATGTCCAGCCAGCTCTGGCTCCAGAAGTGCTTCTTGCTAACTGAGCTAACACACAGGCTCGCTGTGGCCCTGCGGCCCCTTCCTGCGTCTCTACAGAAACACGGACCCACACCGACCATAAGACGAGCTGCAACATCCACAGAGGCTTATTTACCCTTCTTCTGCATCACACTCATCCCCCTCGATGTCAACAACATCCATCTCGTCCGCCATGTCGGTGATGATGATGATCAAAGCAAACGAGACGAGACGCCGTCGCTCCAGTTTTCTCATAACGACCCCTTCCGGCAGGGAGTTTATCCTGAGTGCAGCACTGTGGTGACATGAAATACATTCAGGAGATTCACAGTCAGTCTATAACGCGCTTATTACTATTCTTTAACGCCTTATTATTATTAACTCATACACATTGTAAAGTAACTACTATGTAATTAATATACACGTTATTACGTTATTAGAGTGAGGGCTTAAAGTGTGAGCATACATACAGACACTTCATCATCATCATCATCATCATAATAATAATAAAACAATAATCTTAATGTTTTTAGTTGCTTTTAATTATCATTTTTATCATTTAAATTAAAATTTTATTATCAGAAAATATTTATTTAGAGACCCCAGCAATGTCATTACGCCCAGTACACTCATAGCAGTGACTATCATTCTGGTGTCTTTGCTGTGTTGAGAATTACTGACCACCCAAATAATATCAGATCATTAGGTGTCCTGTAGTCAGAAACCAGTAGATGATGAATTTGAGGTAAATTTCACATCTATATAGTGACCTGTAAGGTAGGTAGTCCTCATAAAGAGGCCAGTGAATGAATGTTCAAGACCAGCGTTTCTCATAAAGAGGATGAGTGTATACTGAACAGCACAAGTGAAAAAAATCAGTTAAGCAGCACAAAACAAGACAACAATCCAACATAGTAGTTAATAAACCTTTATTGACTTTCTCCTCAGAGGATCAGCCAGGCAGCTGAACCCTCATGCAAGTACACAAGAATGATCAGTGTTTCTCCACTGAACTCTTCTCACACAGCTCTACACACACGCCTTAGTAATCTATCACTTACTCATTAATGTGGGGCGTATATGACTGCCCTGTGCGACAATTACACATGATTATGGTGCTCAACTCACATGAACATCTAGTTTCTGTTTTATACAGTTACAGTTAATGTGGCATGGACATCACAATGTGTTGCATGGCGTCAGGGAAACTAAGAGAGGTGGATGGGAGCAGACAGGAAGCTGAGCTCTGGGGTCCGTCCCTCTTCAGGCAGATCAGCAAGCACTAGCGACATTCACAAGAGAGCTGCAAAACAGCAGAAAGACCAGCATATTAAAAACAAAATTAGGAAAACTGTAGAAAGAGAATAGGCCTGTTCCTGCAGACTTTTCTTCTAGTTTATCACAAGCTGTGATGAATAGGAGTTAATATCACAGGATCAGCTAATTAGAGTTGACCTACTCATCCTCCGCCCACAAACGCTTTCTTTCTTAGCTACTGTGAGGTTCAACAACCATTACAGACCAGTGAGCTACTAAATCTAATAAGAAACCAAAGCACACAACTCCGTCCTTGTAAAAATTACCTACATTAGGCTAGTTTGTATGGATTTTTGTAACGTTTTTCATTTGGTTTGGTTGGTTTCACACTGCAACAGCTAAAAGTGCACCAAATTACATATGTGAGTGTTTGTTTTATGGTCAGAAATCATGCAGGGATACAAGTGCTCTGTTATTCTCACATGTGACACCATAAATATAGAAAAATTGAAAATAGCGATGCTTAAAGTCTATGTGTGTCAATCAAATCAAAGCAATAGTCAACAAACCTACTTGATATGTAACTGGTTTGTCACTTTGAATTCAACCAATCAGGACGCTTATGCATGTGCCAAAATCAAACACATTACTTCATATCTGCCATTATCAGCAGCAGGGGGGTCTGTCAAGCGTTAGATGTAAAAACGTGTAAATTATGCAGACAGTACAGTGAAGGCATACTGCTAGAAGAGGAGGAAAGCAAGCTCTGATGCTGAATTATTTCGTTTTCTGCTGACCATCGTAAAAATGTGTTCCCATCTCACCTGCTGTCTCTCACTGGTAAAACTTTATCTCTGTGTCCACACAGTCAAAGAAGAGGTCCCCGAGCTCCTGGCCCTCCACCTCCCCTCTGAGCATAGCTTCAATCTCCTGCAGACACTGTGACTCCAAGAACCGCATAGTCTCCTGTAGAGATGCTCCAGCATCCTGACACATACACACACATACATAATTCAATATCCATGCAACAGGGGCAAACAATCTGTTGGCTTTTTATTTGTGAATAATAATAATAATATATATAATAATATTAATGAATAATAATATTAATGAATTCCAACATGTTTTAACTGATGATGGCCTGTACCCCCAAAATAAGAATGCGACATTTTATACACCCTCTGTTTATTTTTATTTTTAATTAACTAACTTGACCAATCACAGCTGTTTCTGTCATTGGCATGGGGACAACCAAGATGACTGACTGGCTGTGTCCCAATAAACTAGCACTTTTTTCCCCAAATGACAAAAGAATTAGTTCGGTCTTCTGCAACGCCACAGAGGCTGGTCACACTATATTCTGTTTTTGCACACAAGGCAGTCAAAATTATGGTGAAACAGCTCTTCAGATTGATGAAGAACATGTTATATATGGTTCTATATAGAAGCTTTTTAAAAAAGGTTCTATATAGCACCAAAAAGAGTTCTTCCATCAGTACAATCTTGACATTGTAACAAGAGCCTTTTTGGTGCTCTATAGAAACCTTTTCAAAAAGGTTCTATATTGAACCATGTACAACACATTTCCCATCATTTTCTTTACTAGACAAGAACCCTTAAAGAACCATCTTTCTTAAGCGTGTATAGCAGACAGTATTAATCAGCATCCTAGATGCTAAAAATACAATGATTGACAGATAAGGTGATTACTGTTACTTGGCAACTGGGAGAAGTGTAACCAGCAGCAGCCTTCAAAAAAGGCAGAGACCCATTCAATTCAGTGGAGCTCCCATTCAATTTCTTTTACTGTAACCTCACCAGATTTGCCTCCATGGTAGCCAGCGCTGCCTGGTGGGCTTTGTAAAGCTCATGCTTCCTGTCCACCTTGTGCTGGAATCGAGGCTGTGTCCTCACAGGATCGTCTGGACCATACTGTGGAGATACCACCATAGTGACCGGATTCATGCTCTCCGAGAAGATAAATGGCTTGAAAACAGACCTGTAGGATTAGAAATGGTAAGACACCTTCATACACTGAATGTATAAGTCCTAATGCCATTGTTTATGGATGGATTCTTTAAAATCAGATGCAACATGTCAACATGTAATATTCTTAAAATGGAACCCAACCTAAAGTAAAGCAAATAAATAATGAAATAAAATGTGCCATATCTTTTGGTCACATTTAATTTTTTGTTGTTACATTAAGCAAATAAACAGTAGTTGAACAGAAACTTGCAGAAGTATGTTCATGTGTTAAATTATGTTCACTTAGAAAATCAACTAAACATAATTTCACCGGGGCACCCAAACTTTTGCATATGACTGTAGGAGTACTAAAGGTATTCTTGCACCTGATCAAGCCAGGAAATGTAACGTTAGGTCATTGGCTCTTGCAGGATCTGTACATAATCCGCATGATAACTACTATTAATTATTAACAACATTACTGTATAAAGTATCTCTAGTAGAGACCTACCTAGAAGGGTCAGGTGTGGCAGTGAAGAAGTGGACACAGGGCATACTGGTGTCTCGTGGGAGGATGGACACCATGCTACCAGTGGTACGGAAACCTTCGGAATCCATGCAGATGCCGCTGGGTTTGTCCCTCAGGATGCTCATCATCACCTCCGCTGTCACAGAGCCTGCAGCCACACACACACACACACACACTCTATATTATTACAAATTTCAAACAGAAACAGAGCCTAACCTTAGCGTCAGTGTATCTATATTACACCAAAAGTATTTACATTTAAGATTAAACCAAGACAACTGGACCTGGAGAAAGAGCTGAAGTCTAGTTCCTTTAAAAAAATTATTTAGTGATGTAGTTTGTGATGTCCCAGGAAAAAAGACCTAGCAGAAATGTCCACAGTATGGATGCAGCACAAAACCATCATTTCACCATTCTGTTTTCTCTCATGCTTTCTCTTCAGATTTGTATCAGTGAAAAGCAAGCGTTAGTGCAGCTCAACCCAATATTAAAAATTAAATAAAATGTACTCTGTAATCCAGAGGTCATGTTTTCTCAAGCCAATGACCAAAACTTGACCATTTATATAGACCCAATATCAGAGCTACAGTACTGTGCACCAGTCTTACGTTATGTAAAACTGTTTGAATCTGGACAGTAAGCATTTATTTATGAAAAAACTAAAATTAGAATACATCTACACAAAACATAAATAATATATTATGATTTTATGTCTGTCAGTGTGTATGCCTAACCTTTCCCAAAGCTCTCCTTGAGGAAGCTCAATATTTATTTACCATCCTACTTCAGCTAATCAGTCCTTCACTAAATTAAATTGTTGCTGATGGAGTTCAACAAATCCACAAAATGACTGGAGTGCAATATGAAGTCAGGACCCAAACCTGTGGTCTTCTAACAGTATTCTTCCAACCGATATATTAATATTAAACTTTTTAAAAAAATAAAAACGCTATGTTTTACAGAGTTTGTGTTTATTTGTATTTATTAAAAAAAACACACATACTGCCATGACTTTTGGGCAATATTAAATATTCCACATAAAGAGAGTAATTTTAGCCATTATTCACCTTAAACTCCACAAAGAATATGCGTGTTAGTCACATCCTCATTGCACAGTCCCTACCACATTTCTATCTTCTCTACATGTGCAAGTACTATTCAGCCTATATTTAATATATTTAATTTAATTTAATATTTAATATAGGCTGAATAGTACTAGTGCATTCCATATATTAATCATAATCTGTACAGGTTGGATACAGCTCACTCACCGTCATGCTCCTGAAGCAGGGCTGTGCCTCCTTTATAACGCTGCTTGGCCAGCTCCATCCTAGCAGGGGGGTTGTCTGGGCTAAAGGCAGCACTGAAGCTGAACTCCCCCTCCCCGCTCCACCAGCCCTGAGATTGGGCCACACTGCGCAGCTCTGGGTGCTCAGCAGAGATCTCCGTGCCTATCGTCAGCTGGTTAGAGATGTTCTTGACTCCCTCTGACACAGCA